GTTCAGAACTAGGAGAGAATAAAAATGGCTGTTTTAAGCCCCCAGTGTGTGGTCATCTGTCACGGCAGCCATGAGCAGGTATGCATAGTAGAGACGGAAGCCAGCCTGGCAGTGGGCGGACCCCAGCCCGGCCAGCCACATCAGGTGCCACTGACACAAAGCCAGCCCAATGGGGAAGGGGCCTGCGTCTTCCTGGGCAGTTACACGGCCTCAGAGCCCATGGGGGAGCTGAGGAAGGAGAAGGCAGCGAGGGCTGGGGCTTCACTGTGACCCTCACATTGCTGAGTGGGCTCAGTCCACGTCTCCCATAACCACTCCTCCTAAGGGAACCAGAGCAGGTCTCCGAGCTGCCTCCGTCCAGGAGCCCAGGTCTCACTTCTAGTAGGCATGACTGTACCTGGTGACTTCCTCTCCCTGGGCCTCCATTTCCCTATCTGTAACGTAAGGCTTTGCAAAATGAGTGCCAAGCTGCCTCAGAAAGAGATTCCCAGACTGGAGGGGAAGGGAAAGGAGGGCAGCAAACTACCTGCCCCAGACCAGGCAAGTGAACCCCCAGACCAGCCAACTGAACCCCTAGATTAGCCAATTAACCTCCACATGAAACAGGTAAACCCTCCAAGACCAGCCAGGTAAAGCCCCCAGCCCAGCCATGTAACTTCCAGATCAGACAACGAAACCCCCCGACCCGTAAGACTAAATCCCCTAGACAACTGAACCTCCCCAGATCAGCTAACTGGATCTTCCAGACCAGTGAACTGGACCCACACGTTAACACGATGTTTGGAATAGATTCAATGAAATGAAACAGTCAAATCAATCGTACCTGTTTCTTTTCACCTTATTCATGGGACTGCTAGAAATGTGACAACCCATTTCTACTGGGTGGTGGCTCTAGGTAGTACGTCCCTGGGCAGAGTCCTGCCTTTATGATCCCTCAAGTCCTCTCCAAAACCCAGCACTCAATAAAACCTGTGGGCTGGATGCAGGATGCCTCAGTTTACCCCAGGGGAAACGGAGTCCTCGAGAGACAAGGTCACTCGCCCTAAGGCAGCAACCACTATGTCATTTGTGGGCTCAGTGGAAAATGAACATGTGAGCCCACGGTTCAATATATATTAAGAGCATTAAACTGAGCACGGGCCCCTGCACAGCTGCAGAGGTCACACGCCCGTGAAGCTGGCCCCGCTCCAAGGCCAAATCGTTGTTAATGGGCAGAGCTGGGATCTGAACCTAGGGAGGCCTGGAGCTGGGGGCACAGTACAGGGAGGGTCACCTGGAAACACGCGAGCAGGTCTGAGTCCCTGGGCTAGGCTGTGGGGCTAGAGCAGAGGAACAGAGGGTCCTGCCGGGTCCCTCCTCCCAGTGCCTGGGGCAGCATGCAGTGTTGAGGCCCCAGGGAATGAGAGAAATTGTACCCAGGGTTGAATGGTGCCCACTCCAAAAGATACATCTAACCAGAACCTGTGAGTGGGAATCTGACCTTATGACAATAGGACCTTTGTGATGGAATTTTCTTTTTTTTCAGACAAGGTCTGACTCTGTCACCCAGACTGGAGTACAGTGGTGTGATCACAGCTCACTGCAGCCTTGACTTCCTGGGCTCAAGGGATCCTCCCACCTCAGCCTCCCAAGTGGCTGGGTCTACAGGCATGCACACCACTATTCCCAGAAAAGTTTTGTATTCTTTCGTAGGGATGAGGTTTTGCCACGTTGCCCAGGCTCGTCTTGAAACCCTGGGCTCAAGAGCTCCTCCTGCCTCAGCTTCCCAAAGTGTTGGGATGATGGGCAGGAACCACCTGGGAGCCCTGCCAATATAATTGAATTATGGATCTTGAGATGAGATGATCCTGGAAGAGGGTGGGCCCTAAAGCAAATGACAGTTGTCCCTAAAAGAGAAGGGAAGACAAGAGGAAAGCCATGTGCCACGAGGCAGAGGCTGGAGCTAAGCAGCCACAAGCCAAAGGATGGGTGGTGCCACTAGAGGCTCTGGAGCCCCCTGACAGCTTCCGGAAGAAGCAAGGTCTGCTCACACCTGGACGGCACACTCTGGCCTCCAGAACTGTTTTAAACCACCTAGGTTAGGGTAATCTCTCACTTACGGCAGCCCATGTTACAGAGTTCCTGGCTACTTCAAACGTCGAGTTAAAATGTTTCTCTCTGGGCCAGGCGTGCTGGCTCATACCTGCAATCCCAGCATTCTGGGAGGCTGAGATGGGCAGGTCACTTGAGGTCAGGAGTTCAACACCAGCCTGGCCAACATGGTGAAACCCTATCTCTACTAAAAATATAAAAATTAGCTGAGCGTGGTGGCACGTACCTGTAATCCTGGCTACCCTGGAGGCTGAGGCTGGAGAATTGTTAGAATCCGGGAGGCAGGGGTTGCAGTGAGTCAAGATTGTACCACTGCACTCCAGCCTGGGTGACAGAGCGAGACTCTGTTCCCCCCTAAAAGAGTCCTAGCCCGCACGCTCCCCTTTGCCTGAGTCACGCCCATGCTTGTGTGGGCCTCATCACCACCAGAGACCCAGGCTGGGTGGGTGGCAGTGGGCAGGAGCCAACAGCAGCAGAGCCAGCCATGAAAAATGGATGAACAAGCGGTGCTTGGGGCAGGAGCCGTTCCAGCACTTAGCAGCTCCAGGGCCGACAGGAAGGCGGTCCTTTTAAAAGCTCCCAGCCCCAGGGGCCCTGAGCTGGCTGCCTGGCATTGATTCGTGAGGGGTGGGGGTGGGGGTGGGGGGGGGCTGAAGGTGGGAGTGCATTTCCCAGGTACTGTCAGGATCTGCAGCATCTTGGTCTACTTTTCTGGTAAAGCCCCAGCCTTGGGCTGGAAGGAAAGTGGTCCAGAGACACTTCCAGGGCCTGGTTTCTTCATCAAAGATGTCTTGACACAATTGCCAAAAGGTGGAAACACCCCAGTGTCCGGCGTCGGATACGCGGATACAGAAAATGTGGTCTGTATACAGGACGGAATATTATTCAGCCGTGAAAAGGAACAAAGCAGTGATGAATGCTACAATGTGGAGGAGCCTAGAAAACGTCACGCTGAGTGACAGAGGCCGGACACGAAAGGACAAATGCTGTGTGATTCCACTTACAGAACGTCCCAAGAGCAGATTCCTAGAGATGGGAAGTAGAATGGTGGTTGGCAAGGGCGGGGAGAGGGAACGGGGAGTTAGTGCTTAGTGGGGACAGAGTCTCAGTGGGAGATGATGAAACCTTCATTCTGAAGATGGCGGTGCTTAATGCTGCTGCTAGTAAGCTTCACGGTTAAAATGCCAAGTTTTATGCTATTATATATAATTATTTAAAGAAGAAAAATGGCCTTCGTGGTGTCTGTCAGGCACTGGGAAACTCATGTCTAAGAGAAGAAAGTCCTCCAGTTTCAAGGGTTCAGGCTAGGTCCTCTCAACTACCGTCTGCTGCTGGATCAACCTCAGCCACTCACACGCACTCACTCAACAAACATCTCCTCACTCCTCTGTGGGCTCAGCCTGGAGTCTCAGAAGCAGCCAGGCCCTGGAGGGGACACAGGCCCTTGGTGCCTGTCCGGCATCCCATCCCACTTAGCAAATGACACCCGGATATTCGTCAGAGGAACCAATCTCTCTGCAAGTAGTCTTGGAGGAGCTGTCAATCAAGATGCACCGCCCTCCAGGCTAAGGGGGTGGGCCTAAGACCTACATTGGGCCAATCAGATGCTCTCCTGGAGAGGATTCCTCCCAACCTGGAAAGCTGAAGGGTCCGTTCATCCTGGCTCCCAGCGGGGACCTTTGCGCACTTCCGTATTTTACTGTTCCTGTGGGCTCCCCTCGACTTTCCAGTAAATTCCTTGTTTCCGCTTCTGTAGCTTGCATCCAAAAGCCCTAAGCCTGCCTAAACCCAAAAGAGGGCTACAGAGCCCGATGAATTTGATGAAGGAGATAATGCAATTAACAGCAGCCACTGCCCGGGTGTGCCAGGCCCTGCTCTCGCGCTCCCTTGCTCCAGGTCCCACAGAGGCAGTGGGGAGGCCAGAACTCACACCATGCAGGTGAGTCCCAGGCAAGCTCAGCTTCCGGCCACCTCTCCAGGTGGGCCGGTGGCCTCCACCTGGAAGGGGCTGCTGAGGTCAGGCAGGTTGCCCCGGGGCAGGCTAGGAGCCTGGCCCTCACGCCACTGGCCACAGGACACTTGGAGCCAGAGTCGGTCTCAGGCAGTGGGGCCCCAAGTCAGAGCCTGGAGTCTCAGAGGAAACCAGGCCCTGCAAGGGATGCAGACTGTGCCTGTCTGGTATCCCATCCCACTTAGCATAAGACACACCAATTCACCAGGGAACCAATGTCTCTGCAAGCAGTCTTGGAGGAGCTGTCAATCAAGAAGCACCGCCCACCCGGACCAGGTGCCGCCCACGTGACTCCCAGATTTTTGGCTGGGGAGACCAGGGCAACTGTCACTGAGGTAAAGAAGAGGGGCAGCAATGGACTTGGAGTGGGAGGCCTTCCGCCACATTGGTCTGAGGTCCCCCAAGGCCATCTACACACAGGACAGAGGTCTGGACTGGCTTCACCAACACCCACAACACCCATCAGTGGTTTTGTGTCTTTCTAGAACTTTCTCCTGCTGACCTACTCTCTCAGCACTAGGACGCTGGATGTCCTATCTGGGTGTTTACAGTCCCGGGTGTGCCTGCGAAAGCAAACAGCCCCATGTGTGCCTGGCTTCTTTGCAAAGGCCACCCCTCCCTCACTCTCCATAGCCTGAAATTAGTCCCCCTGAGAGGAAAACTGAGGCACCAGGGCACTGCCACCTTCCCAGTCACTCACTGATAGTGAAATGGAAGGCCTGGAGGGGTGCTCAGAGTCAGGACAAGCATTTATAGAGCACCTGCTGTGTACGGCACTGCTTAAGGGATGGTGCCCCTTTTCCTCTGCAGGGTAGATGGCCTCATCCCCCTCCCTCCTGCCCCCAGCCCAGCCCACCCCCTGCCACGAGAGCTGCCGGGGGCAGACGCCAAGCCTTACCTTTCAGGCAGGACATGTTGAGCCCCATGTCGGCGTCTCCACAGGCCTGTGGAGGGAGGAGAGTGTTCAGAGAGGAGCGGCCGCCCCTTGCTTGGATTGGCCATGTGTGGCCAGGCCCCCACCCCGGCCCTGGTGAGTACAAAACAGGAGGTTGTGGTGGAGAGAAACCACCAGCCTCTAGGCCACACCACCTGTCAACCTCTGGGCTGGAGTCTGTGCTGGTGGAAAAAGCTTGAGGGTGCCTCAAAGTTAAATATACAGGAGGCCAAGGTGGCGACGGCAGCCCCGGCTCTGCGAGGTCGCTTGAAACCAGGAGGCGGAGGCTGCAATGAACTGACGAGGGGGGAACCGACACCACTGAGCCTTTCCTTTCAAGAGCCACAGGAGGGCTGCTGCTGCGGAGGTGTGAAGACCTGCCAGCCGGGGCTGGGGGTGGCCCAGAGGCCCCCAAGGCAGGTGCCCCTCCCCTTCCAATATGCCCCGTTTTTTTTTCTAATGCAGGTTCTCTCGAGATCTAATAGCCTGAGCTCTAGAGGACGCGTGGCCCCAGCCCACAGGATATTAGAATTGTCCCAACCAGTGTTCTCATGATGTTCCTTCCACCTGAGGCATCCTTAGAGTTCTGGGAAATTGAAAAGTAAAGTAAAAGCAGCAGCCAGTGGCGCAGGGTCCCCGCGTGCTCTTGACACTCACTCCTCAGTAACAGCCCTGCAAGGTACTATTACCGTCTCCACTTCAAAGACACAAAAATCAGGGCTCATGGAGGTGGCAGCATGTGCCCGAGGCTACCAGCTTACTAGGGATTGTGGAGCTGAGACTGGAACCCAGGATTGTCCTGATCCCCAGGCTGGAGCCCCACCCCACAGAGACCTGTAGTGTCCAGAGGTCCAGAGGAAGATAAAGGCACAGGGGGTAGAAGGAAGCAGGGGGTGGGAGGTCAGGCAGGAACAGGTGGGGAGAAGCCAAAGATGGATCGGACCTGGGGTCTCAGGCTGGCTTGGAGTTAAGAGCTTATTTTGAGGATGCCAAGGAGCAAGTCTGCTTTCTAGAGGGCAGTGTGGCTGGGGCCAGTGAGGAGACCCTGAGCCTGGCCCTCGCCTGCAGGCTGTAGCATCAGCACCCTGGGGACTGGGGAAAAAGGCAGCTGCTCAGGCCTGCTCAGGCCCACCCAGGCGCACAAGGCCCCAGGGATTCCTGTGCCTGCTGACGTTACAGATGCTTGCTCTGGGCCAGAAATCAGGAAGGTGATTGTGAAGACAGCGGTCAGGAAGGGTTCAGAGGGAGAAGGAGCTGGAAGTCCAGGTGGAGCTAGCAGGACATGGATGGGAGATACCACCAGGACAGAGACTGAGGGCCTGGGGAAGGGAGGGAGGGCCACAGACACTGATGGGAACAGGCTTGGGCAAGCTGCATATGAAAGGCGGCCATTCCGACTTAGGAGCGGTCTCTAGAGCTTCCACCACACCAGCTGGGCCAGGCCCCCGCTTGGCAGCTCCCAGCCATGTGACAGCGGATAGTTTATCTTAAGACTTCCTTTTCCCCAGCTTTAAAATGGGATCAGGTAACCAGGCGTGGTGGCTCACGCCTGTAATCCCAGCACTTTGGGAGGCCGAGATGGGTGGATCACTTGAGGTCAGGAGTTCGAGGTCAGCTTGGCCAACATGGTGAAACCCTGGCTCTACTAAAAATGCAAAAATGAGTCAGGCATGGTGGCGAGCACCTGTAGTCCCAGATACTTGGGAGGCTGAGGCAGAAGAATCGCTTGAACCCGGGAGTGGAGGATGCAGTGAACCCAGATTGCAGCACTGCACTCCAGCCAGGCCACAGAAGGAGACTCCATCCCAAGAGAAAAAAAATGGAATGAGGCACATAACAGTCATTGAGAGCAGCAGTGAGGGCTGAGGGTCAGGAGGTGATCTGCACTGGGGACAGAGGAAAATCCAAGCAACATCAGCTGCTGCTGTCCTTTATGACAGTGAGGGAGGGAAGGGAGGGCGAGGTTTCCAGCTAGGCCTTTTCTCCAGGGCCTTGCTGTTCCCAGAGTGGCCCATGGAACCGCAGCACAGGCTTCCTGAGAGCTGTGCATACAGGTTCTCAGGCCTGAGCTGGGCCTGCGCACTCAGAACCTGCACCATGTTACAGCCAAGAAGAGCTGGGCACTGCGGCCTCTGCACGTCACCCAGGAGCTTCATCTGTCAACCCAGCACTTTGGGAGGCTGAGGCGTGAGGACTGCTTGGAGCCAAGAGTTCAAGACAAACCTGGGCAACATAAGAAGACCCTGTCTCTATAGAACAAGCTTGTACAACCCCTAGCCCTCGAGCCGCCTGCAGCTCAGCACAGCTTTGAACGCGGCCTAACACAAATTCATGAACTGTCCTAAAACATTGTGAATTTTTTTGAGAATTGCTTTTCAGCTCATTAGCTCTCATTAGTATATTCTATGTGTGGCCCAAGACAATTTTTCTTCTTCCAATATGGCCCAGGGAAGCCAAAACACGGGACACCCTGACTATAAAACATTTATTAAAAATTAGTTGGGTATGGCGGCCTGTGCCTGTAGTCCCAGCTACTCAGGAGGCTGAGGCAGGAAGATCACTTGAGCCCAGGAAACTGAGGCAACAGTGATCCTTGACTGTGCCATTCATGCCAGCCTGGGTGACAGAGCAAGAGCCTGTCTCTTAAAAAAAAAAAAAAAAAAAGCTGCTGTCTGAGTCCCACCCTAAGAGATTCTGGGGCAGTTGGTCCCAGAATTGTGTGTGGCTGGCAGCAGATTTTTTTTTTTTTTTTTGAGATGGAGTCTCACTCTGTCACCCAGGCTGGAGTGCGGTGGTGCGATCTTTGCTCACTGCAACCTCCACTTCCCAGGTTCAAGCGATTCTCCTGCCTTAACCTCCTTAGTAGCTGAGACTATGGGCATGCACTACCAAACCCAGCTAATTTTTGTATTTTTAGTAAAGACGGGTTTTCACTATGTTGGCCAGGCTGGTCTCGAACTCCTGACCTCAAGTTATCCATCCACCTCAGATTCCCGAAGTGCTGGGATTCAGGCGTGACCCAGCGTGTCCGGACCGGCACCGGGATTTTAAAAAGCTCCCGGCAGGACTCTAACATGCAGGAGAGAGAATCCTTCCTTGGGGTGGGGAGGGGGGAGTGAGGGGTAGCAGAGGAGCTGGGGCTGGGTCGGAGGGGAAGAGAGCCCGGGCCAGCGGGAGTGACAGGCACATTTCCTAGCACTCACCATGTGCCCGGCACTGTCCAGAGCCCTTTGTGTATGTTCATGGTTAGTGAATCCTCACGACAGCCCCAGGAAGTTGGGATCATTCCCGTCCCCATCTCACAGGAAACAGAGGCACAGAGAAATAAGTTCACTTGCCCAAGCTCATATGGGTAGCAAGTGGCAGAGCAGGGATTTGAAGCCAGAACTCTGGACTCTGGAGCCCACGCTTTCCGTGACCGGGCAGACTTGGAATGTCTTGGAGTCCGGAAGACAGAGCTTCCAGGAACAGGGGAGGGCGGAGCAGACCTCATTTCCATCCCTCATCAACTGTGCCCATGCTGGCTCTCCTGCCGCCAGCCTTGCCGAGGGGTCCTGCAGCCCTGACATCAGGATCAACCACAAGAGGCCCCAGGGCCTCTGCTGGCTGAGCTTCCCAAACCTGCCTGGACTGCGGCCTCCTGTAAGACACACACTCAACATCCCAACCAAGAGCGGGCAGGCCCTGCACAGCAAACTCCGATTTTATTGTCCAGTGCCTTCCAGCCTGTCTTTGTTAGCACTGATCACAGCCCACCTGGCGGATTTTATGACACAGCTCAACCCAGGGGTTGAAACCCAGTGATCTGTACGAAAGTTCTCACAGATGGAATGATGTCTGGAATTCGCTGTAAAATACTCCAGTAAAACATCAGCAACAACAGCAAGAAGGACAAAACAACAAAATGGCGTGGGTGCGGGGAGGCGCGGGGAGGCGCGGCCAGGACAGCAGCGGAATGCTGTTTACTGTTGGGACCGGGAGATGGGGAGCACGACGTGCTGCTGTGCTTGTCTGAAAGGTAATGGCCAGCCTGGGCAACACGGCGAAACCCCATCTCTACAAAAAATACAAAACTTAACTGGCTGTGGTGGCGCATGCCTGAATCCCAGCTACTCAGGAGGCTGAGGTGGGAGGATCACTTGAGGCCAGGAAGTGGAGGCTGCAGTGAGCCATGATCGTGCCACTGCACTACCTGGGAGACAGAGCGAGACCCTGTCTCAAAAAAGAAAAGATAAGAAGTAATAAAACGATCAGAAGGGAAACAACTGTATTCTAGGTGACAGTTTGGGGTCAGTATTAAATTTTCTGATTCTGACTATTGTACTGTGTTCTGTGAGAAATAATCCTTGCTCTCACGAGGTCGGAGTTCGAGACCAACATGGTGAAACCCCATCTCTACTAAAAATGCAAAAAATTAGCCAGGCGTGGTGGTAGATGCCTGTAATCCCAGCTATTCAGGAGGCTGAGGCAGGAGAATTGCTTGAACCTGGGAAGTGGAGGTTGCAGTGAGCCGAGATCACACCACTGCATTCCAGTCTGGGCGACAAAGGGAGACTGTCTCGGAAGGAAGGGAGAGAGGGAGGGAGGGAGGGAGGGAGGGAAGGAAGGAAGGAAGGAAGGAAAAAGCAATGATCCTTGCTCTTAGAAAATAGACACTGAGGCCAGGCGCGGTGGCTCAAGCCTGTAATCCCAGCACTTTGGGAGGCCGAGGCGGGTAAATCACGAGGTCAAGAGATGAAGACCATCCTGGTCAACATGGTGAAACCAGGATGAACATGGTGAAACCCCGTCTCTACTAAAAATACAAAAACTTAGCTGGGCACGGTGGCGCGTGCCTGTGATCCCAGCTACTCAGGAGGCTGAGGCAGGAGAATTGCCTGAACCCAGGAGGTGGAGGTTGCGGTGAGCCGAGATCGCGCCATTGCGCTCCAGCCTGGGTAACAAGACCGAAAACTCTGTCTCAAAAAAAAAGAAAAGAGACACTGATGGCGGGTGCAGTAGCTCACATCT